GTATTTGAGTGGCACCCATCCTGGCATTTAACGTCCTGGTCACCTGTGTAGTTCCCCTGATTCCCAGACATTGTAGAACGTAAAAGAGGTGTCACATGCTGTTGAGAAAATTACTGACCAAGCAGCTCATGAACCTGACCAGTACCCAAGGCCACAGTGATTTGTCACACATATTTCTGCTTGATATTAACACCGTCATGGGGCAGGTCGCGCTCCTCAATATTCTGCAAAATACCCTGGAAGCATTTTATGAACTCCGCTGCGAAAAATGTATTACATACCGCTGGATTTGATTGATCATTGTAGGCAGGGTATCATGCTGCAAGTAAGCCCTTTATTCTGAGCGCGAATCCTAATAAGCAGAGAACTCAATCGTTAAATCTTTTAATAAGAGTGATGTTGTTCTGTGTCCTCTATGACATTTTATCATTTGTAAGCCATCTGTGGGACACGCTTGGACTTGATTGGTTGCCCCTCAGGTGACACGCACATGCCCACTGGTCCTTTCGCCACAGTATTGGATTAGAAGGTGGCCTGTCACAATTGGAACATTCTCCATCCATCTCAGTTCAGTGGAGAGTGGGGTGGGGGGATTGGCTACAGCTTAATGGGTGGAGATGGCACACAGGCAGAAGTCACAGAAAGTGACATGGAGGCGCAGGATAGCTAATGTCTGCAGGTGACAATGGGACAGATCATCTCTAGATTAACACCGGGAGAAATTCAGCTGAACGTTCTGAATGGTGCTGTACTGCCTAACTGCCAGGGCTGACCTATGTGTGCTATTTCATTTATACCTGAAGGCCACCTTTCACTTAAAGTGATGGTATGTTCTCTGGTCTCCGTGGCAACATCGTCCTGGTGATACCACATGCCCTAGGGAAGCTGGTAAATAAACACTGATGAATTCATCTGCCACACAGACATAAGAGGGAAACACTGAACACAGAAGTGAATGCTGCACACTAAATGCAGATCTAAGAGGGAAACACTGAACACAGAAGTGAGTGCTGCACACTAAACGCAGATCTAAGNGCAGATCTAAGAGGGAAACACTGAACACAGAAGTGAGTGCTGCACACTAAACGCAGATCTAAGAGGGAAACGCTAAACACAGAAGATTAGTGCTGCACACTAAATGCAGATCTAAGAGGGAAACGCTGAACACAGAAGTGAATGCTGCACACTAAATGCAGATCTAAGAGGGAAACACTGAACACAGAAGTGAGTGCTGCACACTAAACGCAGATCTAAGAGGGAAACGCTAAACACAGAAGATTAGTGCTGCACACTAAGCGCAGATCTAAGAGGGAAACACCGAACACAGAAGTGAGTGCTGCACACTAAACGCAGATCTAAGAGGGAAACACCGAACACAGAAGTGAGTGCTGCACACTAAACGCAGATCTAAGAGGGAAACGCTAAACACAGAAGTGAGTGCTGCACACTAAACGC